CGTTTGTGTTTTTTTTTTTTTTTTTTTTTTTTTTTTTTTTTAATTTTATTTGATAACTAAAGAAATGAATAGGCCCGGCCCGGCAAAGGAAACGTGGCTGACGCTCAAATCGCTTGGGGGTCAAATGCCGTTAAGGTAACGAGCGAGCGACTTGCCGTTGGATCATCACATTTCAACACCATCCCAACACGTGGTTAAGTCTTTTGCCTTAAGAGCAGCCGTCGCGACGTCTTAAGCAAAAAGAAGAAGAAAAAAATTGATTGCCACTTTGGAAGGCCGTTTGGCTGCTGTATGAATCAAGAATGTCTGGCAACTGCAGACAGCCCCAGCTCGAGCCCAGGCCAATTGCCTCTGACATTAGCCCCATGGCTCTTCTGGGAGTGCCGACTGCCAGTAAAATGGGGCGTCAGTTGGTACTCTAGCTGCTCCATTAATTATATTCGCATTAGTTGCCAAATCATTGACTTGCAGAAGGCTCGTTGCAAATGGTGAGAACAAATGGATAGATGGATGATTTTGAAAACTCTTTTGTTCGGGTTTGTTCTTATTTAATTGAGGCTAATAGAGCAGACCATTTGCCCCTGCTGCAGCTCCATTTTCAAAAGAATCTTGGCCTTTTTTCATTTTATGTGAACGCATTAAGTAATCAGCCTGTGTTTCTTTAAGGTATTTTCCTTTGCATAATTGGAAAAAAAAAAGTTTTAACAACTTGAAATTTGTGTTAGTTTTGTAATTTTGCTCGCGTGCACAACGTCAATGTTTGTTTTTTATATTTTTTGTACCGTTCCTTAAAAAAGTAAAGAAACAAACAACAACAAAACATTATCACAAGCAACGTGATTTCCGGAAGTTAAAGCGCAACAAAGGCGCCTGCGCAAATGTCGTCGCTGTCGAATTGATTGTTGTTGTTGTAGTTGTTGTTGCTGCTGCTGCTGCAACGAAGAAGCTAAAGAAGAAAGTCGTGCGGCAACAGCTGCCGCAGTTGCAACTGTAGCCTCAGGTTCCATGTCGCACGTCCCACGTCCCACGTCCCACAGTCATCCTGTTTTTCGTGCGAATAATGTCATTTGTGTTTGTTTTATAACCAAAATTACAACAACTTGGCCCAGTCAAGCGACAAGGGAGCCCAAAATAAACATGCAGCCAGCATAATTGTCGAGTTGCTCAAGTCAGCTGCAGGCGAGGGGTAGAGTCAGCATTTGGTAGCTGCTAAAGTTCACTTACACTTGGGGCTGAGTTCAGAATTTTTGCATATCTGGATAATTGATGATGGATAATTGATGGCTTGGCCACTTAAAGTGTGGGGGCCAGCTCGTGTTTGGGCCATATACGGGTGCCACGTGGCGCAGCTGACAGGCCAGCAACAATCAGAGATTGGCCACGGACGACGGCTAGACCCCACGAAATTGGCTGACAACCAGGTAACAATTTCGAAGGCTTAGCTTGGCTTTAAGCAAACACCTGTCTACAATTTAATGTGGGTCTGTGCAGTTCCTCTTTGCAATTGCTTTCGTTGCAAATTGCTTAGCTCTGTGGGTGGCAGGTGTGTCAGCTGCCAAAGGGGACCGAAGAAAGAATATAATCCTCACAAGTTAGTTTCAAGAATGCGACAAATAGATGTGAAGAAATCAAATAGATAATAATAAAGTATAAGAGAATCGCAGCTATATATAAATGAATTTCTCTTTTCGAATAGTTGGCAACTCACTTTTACAGGGAAAGTTGTTACAGCAAGCTCTATCTATTAATATGAATGATTTG